CCCCTATTTCTAGTTGATCTCCTCCTCTCTAGTTTTGTTTTCGTCTGTTTCTGCTCTCGTTTGGTGTGTTTGCAGGGTCACATGGAGGGAGCAGGTCACGGGCGGCAGCAGTGGGTAGCTGAGCCATTGCTCGGTTGGTCGTGCGCGATCTGGAAACGCGGTGGTGGCTTTACGTGAGTCTGCAGTTGGCTCGGGAATCACAGAGGGCTGGGAACTGTTGGATCGTGGAGCCAGATCCAACGGCCTTCCTGCTGCGACGCTAGAGGCTGGTGACAAGGAAACCCTAATGGGTTAGGGTTTCTTCAGTTGGGCTGAAGAACTGGGTTGTTGTGAACTGGGCTCGTTTGGTCCAGCCTGTTGTAATCTTAGTTTAATTAGAATCTGTAAAAGACCAAAATAAAACATTAATCAGTATTTAGTTACTTACTTATTTATATATATAAATACTATAATATTTATAAGTACCCAATGTATATACTCGTATGCATCACTAATATAGAACACGTAACCACTATGAAATCCAACATATCATTAATGATAACCCTAACTAACGTATCCTACGAACTTAGTAATAACCAGAAATTAATCATAAGGATACACATAAGACGTCCCGGACAAAATGAGCATCTACATTATTATTCCCCAAGTAAACTAGTTATAGGTCGTTGGTACAATGGCATGCCTAGGGTCAAGCAGCTAAGTCTTGGTTTTTTGAGATCGTTCACCTTAGCGGAGTAACTCCATGATGATATTAACACTTTGGTGTGTTTGTACTTATGGGTTTGTCTACCATAATGGAGCAATTCCGCGTTGGTATGAAACTTGGCCCACGACAACTAGATAGACCCTTATTAGAGTTTATTTTGGGTGTCTTTATAATATTTCTTGACGATACATAAATACTGATGTTTCTATGTATGATATACATGTGTTGGTTACTGATGATTATAAGCATGATATACACGTGTTTGTTACTGATTATTGTGAGCGTGATATACATGTATTTGCTATTGATTATTATGAGCATGATATGCACTTGATAATGATGATTATATACATGATATACATGCACTTACTACTGATGATTATATGCATGATATATATGCGCTCGCTACTAATTATTATAATCATGATATACACGTGTTGGTTACTGATGATTATATGCATGATCTTTTAACCATTTCGATGATAGGATTAAATATGTTAATCTGGATAAGGTAATTGTCAGATAAACCATTAATGGTGAGACTATTATGATGGGGACCACTTTATGTATGAGGTAATTTGATGAGAAAAGACATGGTATCCTAGACTTTGGGTAAGTATAATGAACCCGACTGATAATGATAAAACTATGAGAATCATTGAATAGTGGCTTAAAATCATAAATGGCTACTATGCTGAATTTATGAGACTCATGAAATATAGTAGGGTTGATATATAATCATCGGGCTTAATAACTCAATCTTTTAATTATTACCTTTACAAGCTCATGTTCCGGGGTCACGATAGGACACCTTTGTTATGAGAAGAGTCTTAATGGGAGTACTAGAGTACAACGATAAGGACTTTGAGTGGGCTTGTAGAGATTACAAATTTATTCGAGTCGGATGTAAATGTTTTATTACGTATTTTGATTTTCAAATGAAGGACCTCTATCATTTCTAAATGTTTATTTCATTAATGATATTGTTGGATTTTAAATATTTAAATAATTTGTGATTTTCTGAGTCTGACTTGTAGGATCACTTTGGTGGTCCAATGTGACATTGTCGACTCAGGTTTGGTTTTCAGGTTAAGTTATGGATTACAGAAGAAGATAAATATTTATAAATTTTAATTAATAAATAAATATGATGTGATAAATAAATGTGATGTGTACTCATTTAATTGGATAGAGACTATGGATGAGGTGATGAACAAGGTTCATGAAATAATTTCTCATGTAAATGACACGAAAATAAATATTGACGTGAAATTTTTTAATAGACTATGACCATTGATGACATGATGGAAAGAGTCACCCTGAAATAATCTCTCGTACTTTCAAATAATCTTTAAGGAATGTGTAAAGGCATTTTGAAATAAACACCAACCAACTAACAATATACATTTTCTTTATTTTCTTATACATTTTCTCTATTTTCTCGGGAAACAAAGAACAACTAACTATATACATTTTCTTTATTTTCTTAAGAAATAAACACCAACCAACTAGAAATTACAAGAAAGTAAAAACCAAAATCACAATAAAAATAGGAAGAAAAAGAAAAGAAAAGCTAAAACAAAACATTTTTTTAGAAGTAAAAGAGCAAAAAATAAAGGGAAGTAAAGAATACAATGATTAGAATTAAAGAAAAGAATTATTTTCGATGAAACATCATACATTTAGGAAGGGTAACAAATATTGTAGTTACATAAGATGGATGATTGTTTGAGTAATCATCGTCGACAAGAGGATAATGAAGAATTTTAGTCAGAAGATTTTGGGTGTCAAAGAATTGGGGTTGTAAAGTGACTTACTCATTTTCAGAGGGTAAGTTATTTCACAAGTGAAAAGTGGTATGTTCTCTTTCATCGTAAAATACTTTCAGTTAACCATAACATTTTCTTTAAATCAAACACATGAAAAAAATATTACAACAAGAAAGTAAAAATATCCAAATCACAACAAAAATAAGAAGAAAAAAAATAAAAACTTTTATCTTAGAAATGTAAGAGCAAAAATAATCGGAAGTAAATATTACAATAACAACAAAAATCTAAATTAATTGGTAGGTTAATAAAGATTATTGAAATCAAATAAAATATTCTTTTATGTATGAGAAATGATAAAGCTAAGAAATAAATTTTTTTGATGAAATTTTATACATTTAGAGAAGAGTAAAAAATATTATGGTTATAAGTAAGGATGAGCATGCGTCATGTCAAATTTCTGGTCCATCAGACTCCGACTTGAGGAAAAATAAAACAGAACATTTTTTTCTTAGAAACAAAAGAGAAAAAATAATAAGAAATAAAGATTACAACGACAACAAGAATATAAATGAATTTGTGGGTTATAATAATGAAAAAAATTATTGAAATGAAAGAAGAAAATTATTTTCCCTTGGATAAAAGATAAAGCAAAGAAATAAATTTTTCAATGAAAGTTTATATATTTAGACAAAGGTAACGAACATTATGGTTACTTGAGAAGACGAACGATTGGTTGAGCTATCATCATCGATGAGTTGAATGCGAGATGAGATGGTAGTTTTTTCTCATATATTTTTGGATGTCAAAGAATAGTAAAGGCTGAAATTGAAATTATAAAATGAATTACCTATTTTCAAATGGTAAGTTGTTTTACAAGAGAACTGGAGGTTTTTTTTCCTTTTGACTATAAAATATTTGTAGTTGGTAACAATATTTTTTGAACCAAACACATGAAAATTATGAAAGTATTTTTCGTAAAATGTTTTCTTTTAAACGAATAGACCCAACAAGAAAATAAAATCAAAATCACAATAAAAATAGGAAAAAGTAAAAAAGATAATAAAACAAGAATTTTTCTTATGAACAAAAACGTAAAACAATGAAAAGTGAATATTACAACAACAACAAAAATCTAAATGGATTGATGGATTATAATACTGATAAAGATTATTGATATCAAAGAATTTTTTCTCTTTCATAAAAGATATAGTAAATAAATAAACTTTTCAACGAAAGTTTATACATTTAGGTGGCGTTTGGTTGGATGGAATCCCTTGGAATTGGTGGGAATTGGAATCTAATTTCACCACTTTCCTATGTTTGGTTCAAGTTTTCCAAGTGAATTGTAATCCCCGATGGAATTCAATTCCATAAAATGAGAGAAAGTGAATTCCATCCAAAAAATGGATAGAATTCAATTCCCTTGTTGGAGGGAATTGAAATTTGACCATACTACCCTCATCAATCCTTTGGTAACTTATTCATATATTGAATAAAAATATTTTTTTATTATTTCGGGTCGGGTCGGGTTTCTAATTCATATAATCGGGTCTGGTCGGGTTTAGGGTGAAAAAAATCGGACTGACCCGAAAATATATATAATTCAGGTCGGGACGGATTAAGTCACTGTTTTTATTAAATAAAAATAATTTTTTATTATTTCGGGTCGGGTTGAATTTCTAATTCATATATCCGGGTCGGGTCGGATGAAATTTTATTTTGTTCGGGTCGGGTCGGGTTTTTTAAGTGTGATATTCGGGTCGAGTCGGGTCGGGTTTTTTTAAGTGTGATATTCGAATCGGGTCGGGTTCGGGTTTAGGGTGAAAAAAACCGGAACGACCCGAAAATATATATAATTCGGGTCGAGTTGGATTAAGTCACTGTTTTTATTAAATAAAAAATATTTTTTTATTATTTCGGGTCGGGTCGGGTCGGATTTCTAATTCATATATTCGGGTCGGGTCGGATGAAACTTTATTTTGTTCGGGTCGGGTCAGGTTTTTTAAGTGTGATATTCGGGTCGAATTGGGTTGGGTTTTTTTAAGTGTGATATTCGGGTCGGGTCGGGTTCGGGTTTAAGGTGAAAAAAACTTGACCGACCCGAAAAAAATATATTATTTTACCTTATATATTTAGAAATAATTACAATAATACCCCTCTATATATAATTTTTTTCAATTAAGTCAATGTTTTTATTGAATAAAAATATTTTTTTATTATTTTGAGTCGTGTCGGGTCGAGTTTCTAATTCATATATTAAATAAAAATAGTTTTTGGTATATTTTTGGGTAACTAATTAACATACTCCGATTTGAATGTATTGAAATATTGCTCTATCTTTTGGTAATTTATTAACATATTTTGATTGCGATGATTTTAACTTATAATGTTTATTAGTATGATTTTTATAATTTATTGAAATGAATAATCAATCAATAAAATGAAAATTTAATATTTTTTAATTTTTATAATATATTACTACATGTGAGTTGTAAAATAAACTAAAATAAAGCAAAAAAAACAAGAAGAGCAATTCTGTCATTTTACATTACTGAAATCAAATTCATTTTATATATCTGCGAACCAAATAGAATATGAAATTGGATTCCAATTCTATTTCTTGCCAATCAAACATAATATGGAATTGGATTCTAATTCTTACAGATTTCAATTCCTTCACGGATTTCAATTCCCTCATAAACATTCAAACGAACCAAACGACACCTTAGAGAAAGATTAACAATTGTTGTGTACCTGATAAGATGAACGATTGCTTGAGTAATCATTGTTGACGTGTAAGAGGGAAGTGGTAGCTTTTGATAGGATAATTCTGGGTGCCAAAGAATTGTGAAGGCTGAAATAAGATTGTAAAAAGATTTACCCATTTTTCAGGGGATAAGTTATTTTACAGAAGAAAAGTAGTCATTTTCTCTTGACTGTAAAATATTTTCAGTTGACCACAATATTTTTTATGAACCAAATACATAAAAATTATGAAAATATTTTATGTAAAATATTTTTCTCTATACAAACAGACTCAACAAGAAACTAAAACTCAAAATCATAAAAACAATTGAAAGAAAAAACAAAGAAAAAATATAATAGAACATTTTTTTAGAAACAAAAGAGAAAAAATATTAAAAAAAAGAATATTACAACTACAAAAATTTATATGGATTGATAGATTATAATATCGACAAAGATTATTGAAATCAAAGAAAAAATTATATTTCCTTTGAGAAAATATAAAGTAAAGAAATGAATTTTTAGTGAAACTTTAATCGTTTAAAGAAGGGTAATAAATGTGATTATCTAAGAAGACAAACGATTTTTCAAGTAATAATCGTCTACTAGTCACGGACAAGAGGGGGGGTGATGTTTTTGGTCGAAGAATTTTTTTATGTCAAAAAATTATGAAGGATGAAATTGGGATTGTAAAATGAATTACTCGTTTTTTAGAGGTAAGTTGTTTTATTAAAGAAAAGAGATATTTTTCCTTCTATCGTAAAATATTTTCAGTTGAACATAATATTTTCCTTGAACCAGAAAACTATGAAATCTTAAAATAATGTCCTCTAAACAAATAGATTGAACAAAAATTAAAAATCAAATCCACAATAAAAATAATAAGAAAAGACAAAGAATAGATGCAACAAAACTTTTCCTAGAAATAGAAGAGCAAAAATAATAAGAAGTGAAGATTACAACAACAACAAAAAAATCTATTGTTAAGATATAATATTGATAAAAATGATTGAAACCAAAAAGAAATATTTTCACTTTGAGAAAAAGATAAAGCAAATAAATGAACATTCCGATGACCGATTGGTTGAGTAATCATCGTCGATAAGTCACCGACGAAAGAGAGTTGTAATTTTTGGTCGATTGATTTTGGGTGTCAAAAATTGTGAAGGTTAAAATTGGGGTTGAAAAATGCTTACCCATTTTTAAAGGGTAAATTATTTTATGTGAGAAATTGAGTATTTTCTCTTTGATCATAAAATATTTTCAATTGACCATAGCATTTTTCTTGAAACAAACACATGAAAATTATGAAACTTTTTTTCATAAAATATTTTCTTCCGAATGGTAGACCCAAAAAATGTAAAAAAAAGCGAAGAAAAGATAAAATAAAACTCTTTTTTCTTATAATGATAAGAGCAAAAACAATAGAGAATAAAGATTACAACAACAGTAAAAATCTAAATGGATTTGTGGGTTATAATATTGATAAAGATGATTGAAATCAAAGAAAAAATTTCTTTTTTCTTTGAGAAAAGATTAAGTAAAGAAATGACTTAATATAAAATAAGTGACATAACTATATCGCTTTCCACGAATAGGTTCCTTCATTCTGATGCTTAAAGTTATAAACTGTCACTTTATGTGTCCAGGACGTCAACGGTTTTAATTTTCCCGTTAAGTGATATGTGTCACAATCTGATAATTTTAAAAAATTATTTTAAAATTATATATTTTTAAAAAATAAAAATTTTGAAATAACCCCAAAACTTTGAAAACCTTTATTTCAACCCTTAAACACGTGTTAACTGCTGCCCTTTGCCATCGACGAAGCTCCACCTGATCTCAGCTCCCCCGATGACCAAAACCCCTATGAAATTGTGACCAATCAACGATCGATATACGTCGAATCAACGTTTCATACCCTACAAACCGCAGGATGAAAATCATGATCCCACACGATTCTGACAACCAATCGTTGGTAATTACGATAGTAGGAACTGCTTCTACGGTGGTGGTCATGGATAGAAAGAACATCATCGACATATTAAGTTTAAGATTTAGGGATTTTAATGATTTTGAGGATTTTTTATAATTTAAGATAAATTAGGGTTTTTATAATTTAAATAATTTTTTAAAATAAATTTCAAAATCACCAAATATAGCACATGTCATTTTTTCTCGGTAAGGTAGTTTTGTTTGAAGAAAATTAACTACAATTGTACTGATTATATGCCTCGTTAAAATCCTCCCACACATAATTAGAGGAAAAGATTACATATAATCGAGGCAGAAACAACGATAATTACATCGACCAACACAACCCAACTTCCTCTGCAGCACACAATCGTGCATACAACAGCTAGCTCTGAATTGAAAAACACCCCAACAATTTAGCGCCACAACAATCAAAGGCGCACATCACAAAAGACTAAACAGTTGCCTATAGAAGTATATAATCTAAGCATCAGTAGGACACACAACACTGCAACTGACCAACCAACAAACAATAATGAACCTAGTACTAAAACCCCTACAAGAAAATCCAGTGAAATATTACCTTACCAACAAGCTTTAAACAATTCTTGTGTACTCCTACCAATCTTCGCAAGTTAATCCGTCAAGTTGTTCCAATCCCTGGAAACATATAAAAATTGGACCTTTCCTAATAAGTGTATCTTTCTATCAATCTCTTTAAACAAAGACCCCCACCTCTAAGGATGAGCAAGAGGGGATTGAACCCAGTTCAACACTACTTTCGAGTCATATTCGACTACCAACTAAGATTTCCTACAGCAGCTAGTCTCACAATAAAACTCTAAATCCATTTTGGTGGCTATCAGTTTGGCAAAATCGGGGTCTACACTTTAGACATGTCTAAAGAACATCACTACTGTGTGCCCAACTTTCATCCTTAAAACGCCACAGCAAACTCTTCTCAAACTTGGAAGCTGTCCATTCCACGTTAAACTTCAATTGACCTGAACGAGGAGGCTACAAAACTGTAACCATTCTAGATTGAAATTCACAAGAGTCGATACAAACCCCAAGACAATCCCACCTTATTTTATCATCGAGAAAATTAAAATCTTTCAATGCCTTACACCAAACTAACACTCCCATCTTCGTCCCACGATCTACCAATCGCTTTGAAAAATCTACAGTCAAAGTAGTCGTAAAACCAAAAGCGCCTAATATCTTATTCACCTAAATCCTCTTTTTTGTTTCTTGAATAAACAAAATCCTCTTTTTTGTTTCTTGAATAAACAAAATCCTCTTTTTTGTTTCTTGAATAAACAAAATCTCTATCTTATTAGCACAGATAATCTTATGCAGTTATAAAATTTTAACATCCGAATCTATACCTCAGATATCCCAAGATAGGATTTTCATGACGAACCTCTCCCCCTCCGCCTGCTGTTTAGAAAGCTAGAGACTTACTTTTCGATGCTTCCAAAGCTATTAGCTCACGAATGGAAGCCTTCTTCAAGCCCTTAAACTCTATTCCTAATTATTTGTCAAGCTTCAGTGTTTTCCTTGCTTCCCTTGTTTGTAGTAGCCATCTTGCTTGTAGGTCAGAATCCGAGAGTGATCTACCTTCTAGCTATGAAATCTCTTCCTCGTGATATTTTTTTCTTCTTCTTTTTATTGTTTACTTGAGCTTTTCTCTTCTTCCCTCGTGTCACTTAACGGAAGAAATTAACGTCGTTGACGGTCTAAGCATCTAAAATGATAACATTTGTAACATTAGATACTAGAATAAATCAAAAAATACTTTAGGCACCTATTCATGAAAAGTAATATAGTTTGAGTACTCATTTTATATTTAAGCCCAAGGAAATAAATTTTTCGATGAAACTTTATACATTTATAGAAGGATAAGAAATATTGTGGTTACCTGAGAAGACGAACGATTGCTTGAGTAATTGTCGTTGATGAGTCGAAGGTGAAAGGGATGCGGTGACTTTTGGTTAGATGATTTTTTATATCAATGATTTGTGAAGACTGAAATTGGGTTTGTAAAATGACTTACCCATTTTCAAAAGGTAAGTTGTTTTATGAGAGAACATGAGTCTTTTTTTATTTTATTTTATTTTACCATAAAATGTTTTAGTTGATCATATCATTTTTCCTGAACCAAACATATGAAAACTATAAAAATATTTTTCGTGAAATATTTTCCTCTAAATAAACAGCCTTAAATCTAACTCTATTTAAAATTTAAAATTTTGGATAAACAATAATGGCGCTCCTTTAAAACTTTAATCGATTTGATTTTGATCATCAGTTTTAGAAAAAAAAATATTTTTGATCACTTTTATTTTCGGTCTGTCTTAATTTGATCAATGGACCATTAACTTCCATTACCTTTATGACATGACATGTTAAAAAAATTAGTTAAATTTTAATTTAACCATTGAATTTTAGAAATAATATTAATTAAACATTAAACTTTACATAAAATACTAATTTAATCCTTTAATTTTATATAAAATATAAATTTGGTCATCAAAACTCACGTCGTTGCCCATCACTAATAATCATCATTGGTCAGCGTGTTGCCACTGCTAACCGTGGTTGTCGATGATTGTTGGACTCCAAAATTTTCAATCAATCCATTGTTGATCTCCCAAAAGCGAATCCAATATATGTTTTTTGATAAAAATAAAAGATTGGGAATTGAAAATTTTTAAAAATAGTAAAAGTTAAAATTAAAATGCTGGGTTGTACGTGAAGAGAATTTTTAGGGTTTTGCCTCTGAAGCTTAAGAAATCTAAATTATTGGGATTAATG